ACATATTATTAGTGTACATGGAGATGGCCTTATTGTTGTCCTTGCACTGCAGTTTGCATCTATCAGTTCATGTGCCCCAGGCCAATGTCACACAACCTCTGTGGTTCTTGGTAAAGCCATCATGGAAGGTTCTACCCAGAGGCACCAGCCAGCGAGGACAAGGTCCCACTGGTGGGCACACTGCAGTAGGAGCAGTCCCAGCAACTCTTGGGTTGCTCGGAGATCAGGCAAGCCCAGCAAGGCTGGCACAGTGCTGTGCTGTGTAACAGAGCAGCTCTCGTCAGTACTGTGCCATCACTGCACCATCTTCCCATGGGGTAAAGAAGTCCCAGCAAGGACTTGGGCTAGCAGCTGGGCTGGCCACATCAGCCAGCATCCACCTCTGGAGGCAGCTTTAGACAGGCTCACTTTGATTAATGAAGGCAGCTGGGATTAGCTTCTTTTTAGGAACATTTAAATACAAACCTCTTTTCCTGGAGGCAGCTGAAGTTAGCCAGAGCTCACGCAGAACATGTGCGTGCACCTGCCTTCCTCTGGCTGGAGCCAGGCCATGTCCACGGGAAAACATGGCACACCCTGATCATACTCCCACAGCTCCAGACCCACGGAGGGGGCAGCCACATCCCTGGTACAGGGGTGCCCTGGGAACCCCGGCCACAGCACTCCTGCCTGGAGCACTGCAAGCCCATCAGCTTGGGGAAAGCAGTTCACTATCTGTATAAAAGAAAAACCTCCCAATGCATATGTCAGAGCAATTTGAGTGTCAAGTGGTGTCCAGCTTTCAGCCCTTTCTCAGGAACAACTAAGGATTCTCCTGCAACTGCAGAACTGGAGAGCCTGGATGGGAGGTTATTCCTGATGATGCTCCTACAGGCATCAGGAGCTGCAGGCACAGAGCGGAGCCCGGACGCCGCCCCAGCCCTGAAGCCTGACTGCAAAATGACAGAGCCCTGCAGCTGAGCAGGGACTTGGGCAACACCCATGGGTGCCAGGAGAGACACCAGCAAAGGCCTCGAGTGCACTGGGGCTGATCCCAGCAGGGAGAGGTTTGATGTTTCTGTACTTGGCAGCCCATGCTTTGTCCAGGCAACAGAGGGCTCCCACAAGTGACATCTGACCTGAGCACCCACATCTGACCCCCACCTGCCACCTGCTGCTGGTTGATGTGGTAGGGACAAGCGTGTGCCCAGTAACCCCTGAGGCTGGGTGGGAGGGAGCAGCTTCAGCCCACACATGGGCACAAGGCACAGGGGTGGGTTCTCCATCAGGAACCACGCACAGCTGAGGGCGGGCATCTCCAACACCAGCATGAAAAAGAGATGACATTGGGATGGAAGACAGGCCAGGTAGCTGAGGGTGGGTCTGCAACAGCATGGTGGAGCGCACGGCCACCCCAGGGTACACCACGGGTGACACCTTCGCCAGCCAGGTTGCTGACATGCTGCACCACTCCAGGCTCCTCCTTTCCCCAGACAGCCCAGAAATTTGTCCTGCAACCCAAAGTAAAGCTGTTTTGGCAGGGAAGGGAGTGCAAGTGTTGGGAATCACATATCCCCCAGCTCTTCTGGTGCCATGGAGGGTTCTGCCAGTATGGATCATGCCCTGGACACAACAGGCACCAACGGGAAGGATGTCACCTTCCATTCTATCTTTAGGCACCCATGGGGAGAAGGAAATTGGTACCTTGGCTACAAGGTCCCCTTTAGTGTTTCCCACCAGCAGCACACCTGGTCTGATGGCCTCTCCTGGTCCCCCACACCAAGGTGTCCCTATATCAGGGATCAGCAACAGCAAAGCTGCTCTCTCAGTGAGGAGGGATCAAGTGGGACCCCAGATCCAGCAGGGCCCATCCCACAGTAGCTGCATGGAGCACTGGGGCACATCTGAGATGGTGCTCCGGTACAACCAAGAGTCCAGAGCAACCCAAAAGTCCAGATCCAGCAACATCATGGTGATGAGATGGGTCCAGTGTGAAGCCAGGAAGACAAGCCACAGATAAGGAACAGGTCCATGGTGATGGGACAAGGTGAAATGTCAGTCTGAGGTTTTGGATCAGTAGAGTGCATAACCAGGCATCAGTGGAGCTGAGCTGGATACCAGCACCCCTCCAACACAGCTTCCCCAGGGACTGATGTCTCTAGCTGAGCTTAAATAGGGTTCCTGAGCATGCTTAGAAAATACTTCCCATGCAGGGAAGGCTCTTGGGTGTGGAGAGCTGTCAGGTGAGGCTGACGTGGGGAACGCTAATTAGTGCCTTTAGAGCTGACGCTAACTGGTGTGTCTTCTGTACTGGGAGGTGGTCCTGGTGGTGGCACAGCTGCTGTCAGGGCCTGACAGCACTGTGTGTGGTGGGAATGCAGCTCGTGTCCCAAGGCTGTGAGGACCTCTGACCTGAGCCCAGCCCCAGGAAAGCCTTCAGCACAGACCAGGCCAATGTGGTCACAGGTTCCATCCTGTGCCACACACTCACTATTTCAGATTTACTTTTAGCATCTGTTATCATTGCCATGCTCTCGTGGGCAGGAACAGCAGCTGTTCCCACATCCTCACCACAGACCTGTTTGGAATCACTCTGCACGATCCCCAGGGTAGATGCAAAAAGGGAATTTGGCCCAAACACCACTCTGGCTCTGGGATGCAGCTGCAGGGTGCAGAGTACCTGCTGGTCTCCCCATGAGCCTCAGCCGGCCCGTGGCAGGGAACAGTTATTCCAGTGCTGCTTTAGTTACAGAACCAGCCGTGCTTTGCTCGAGGCCGAATGCAGTGCCATGCCCCCAGCGGGGCAGGAGCTGCTTTCCAGAAACCACAGAACTGGAAGGTGTGCCTGACTCAGGAAGACCTCCTGCCAGCTGAAGAAGCCTTTCCAGTGCCACCTAGAGCCACCTCTGTAGCAGATGTATGTGGCAGCTCCCACAAGCCAGCCAGCCCCCATTAACCTGAGGGATCCAGAGGAGCTGGATGAAGGCACAGAACAGATGTGCAGCCACAGCAGTTATTTTTGTCCCTAGCAATATCTCCTGCAAAGTTGTATTTCTACATCTTTTGATTACAAAGAAGCTATTGAGAGTAAAGCAAGGCTGAAGAGATCCCTTACAGATGGGTGAGGCTAAGGACAACACACTCTGCAGTCCCCTGCTCTGTTGGGTGTTGTACCCCCTCCTGAGTGCACAGTACATTAGGAAGCAAGGGTTAGCAAAAGGAGGGTGACCCGTCCCGGTGGACTGATGTCTAAGCTGGGATCTTGGGGGAGACTGGGGTTGGGGACAATCCAAAGAGCCATTTGAGCTGGGATCCAAGTCCTGGGGCAAGCTGAGACTGGGGACAACCTAGTCAGACAGCCTTGTCTTCTGGCAGGGGAATTTCTCTCCATGGCCTGGAGGTTCCTGTGCTTTCTGATGAAGGCCTCCAGAGCCACATAGGCTGGGAGTGTGAGGAGACACATGTGCATCACTGGGCAGATTGAACTCTCTAGAACTGACTGAGAGATTAGGAGGTCTTCATGCACAGAAAGCTGAGCCCCACTTCTTAGCACTGAGAGAAGCTTTTTGTGAGGCAAATACCTTGGCAAGTTTTCAAGGTGCACAGGGCAACTGTGCATCCCATGCCTTTTGCAAAATAGTCTGGACAGATTTGCTTTGGGAGGGAGTTGATGTGCAGAAGTGGGGTGAGATGGAGAGGGAGGCAAGATAGCACAATATGTCCCTGATGTCTCCAAGCAGAGATTTGAAGGGCCCTACACTGCTGAGCCTAAGGGTGCTGAGCTGCTCACGGTGAGCCCAGAGGCACCCAGCATGCAGCTCGTGGGGGATATGAAGGCACAGGCTGGTGTCTCAGTAAAATTCAGGCAGGGGTTGGGACCCCTTGTTTAGGGCAGGTGAATCTTAGAGGGATGAAAACAAGCTCTGCAGATGCTCAGCGGCACTCGAAGCCACCTTCCCCTCTTGCACGGGGTGATGGTTTGTGCAGAGGCACCCAGGGGCCTCTGGCACAACTAAACACCCTGTGGGTGGACGGCAAGTGCCAACATCCAAAACCAAGTCTAAATCCCCTCCAAAACATCTCAGGCATCCCCACAGTTCTTACAGCCCCTTGCATAGCCCTTGGAAGGCTGAAATCCTCCCTTGTGAAGGCAGCACTGCCGTCAGCTCTGCTGCCTGTCCTGACACCATAACAAAAGCCATCCGCAACCCGACGCCCATGGGTGCCTGCTTCAGCAGCACCCCTGTCGAACCGTGCTACAAACACTGGTGACATTTTCAGCTCCCAAGCCCAGGCAGTGTGGGTGACGCTTCTTACCTCTCCTGGCATATGCCTGGGCTCCTCTCCCAGAAAGGAGACCTTGGTAGAAGAAACCAGAAATAACCCCTGTCCCTCTCTCAGATGGGAGAGGAGGAGAATCCTGATCCCTGAGTTGCTCCTGTTTCTTATCCAGGATAAAAACATATTAACTGTCCTTGTAGTAAAGTCTCACTAAGCTCTAGAAACCAGCTCACACACATGGCTTTTTGTGAACACTTGCATCTAGGAGGTGGCTTAGTTTCATTCAGAGCCCTTCCCCTAAGCCATGCAAGAAGCCTTCCCTGCTCTCTGCCCAGCTGCTCTCATGGGCTATTCTGTAGGGAAAAAAGGCTTCTTCACTGGATAATTTCAAGAGAAGAAACCATGACAGGCTTTCCAACCCAGCATCATCTCAGCCAAGATGCTTCCCCCATCTCCAGCCTAGTCCCCACTGTGCCGCTCTGGGGGATGGAGGAGCTGTGTGACACACAGCTTTTGGCACTGCTGCACTGTGTGGGTTTTGGATCTGGCTTACCATGAGCGTACCTCGAGGAGCTGCACACACACACTGCATCAAGTTGGTCTGAAAAAAACTTGCAACAAAGCTGTAGCCCTTGCTCCCAAGCCAAGTCACTGGGAAACACAGGCACAGCAGTGCAGCTACATTGGTCCAGAATAGAAATTTCAAAGGAAAACCACATTTCAGTCAAATAAAGGATATGTACTTTGAATTCTTTTATTCAGGATAGTTTGGATTTATTCCTGACAATAGCTCTGGAAGGAGGAGATTGTGATGGAAGTCTTTGGAGACAAACAATTAGAAAGAGGCAAATCAAACAACCAGTGCAAACATCCACAGGATTATGTGTCTGATAATTCACAGCAAATTGTAGAAGGGCATTTAGGCACAAAACCAAAACCTGAAAAAGCAATGTTATAAATACCTGCTCAGTTTGCCTGCTCAAAACAAGGGCGCGTGCTTTTCCTGAGGTGCTCCCAGGCAGCATGCTCTCCCTGGGGTCGCAGTGGCAAAGAGCCTCTTCTTGGCCTTGCAGGACTGGGAACAAGCCCAGGATTCCCACTGCACTCAGCCCAGACAGCCCAAACTGTCTTTTCCAGTGTGTGTTGCTTAATATATGTCAGTTGCTATTTTGGGCTTTCTAGATAATGAGCATGGTGAAGTGTACCCAGAAGCAAAAAGCAGAAGAGCCCTCAGGAAGAGTTGCCACCACCAGACCTGAAACAATCCAATGGTTATTTCTGCACCAGCTGGCACAGACAGGCAGTCTTCAAGACAAGCCCAAACAGACTTGCACAGCAGAAATCTCGCTGGAGGTGCCAAAGGTGAGCTCAGGTATGAGCTCAGAAAAGCAAGAACTCAGGAATGGGTCCAAAAAGCTGTCTCTGGAGTGTGCAGTCACGTAGGAGACTAGCTCTAGCTCTGACTGCCCACGCATTTGGGGGATGAGAAGTCACAAATTATCTCAATTCTTCCAGTGTCCAGTATGGCCTCTGCTCTGCACACCACCAGCCTGGACCAAGAAAAGCAAAGAGCTGAAGACTGTGAGCTTGGAGAAGGAGTGAGACACAGCAACGTGTACTGCAGGGACAGTTAACCCAGTTACCATTTCCTATTCCTGTTTATAGGAGCGTCTCGCAACTCCTTAATGACAAAGTAGCACGCGAGGAACAAAGCATCTCACAGTTAATGGGAGGTTGCCTGAGCTTCGTTCCCCACCTTATTCACAGAACATTAGGAACAAGTGAAGCATCTGGAGGAGAACAGAGACCATGTTGCAGAGGAGCCCAGGCTGCTGTCCCTCTACCTTGACAAGGACAGAGTCAGTGCAGGCCTGAGAAGGGACGCCTTGACCACAGCCTGCTGTAACGCACTCCTCCATAAGCCCAGAATTTTGTAAATCCTGAGAGCAGGAATTAGCCTCTGCAGAAAATCACTACAACAGGTTGACTTTGGCCACAACCTGCTTGCAGCCCATCTTGGAGTACTGCTTGTCCCCTGTAGTGTAGTAACTGAGTTGACTTGCTAAATTTTCAATATGCTTCTGGTCGGGATACAGCCCTTCTCCCCTCATCTCCTCTAGGAAGCAGTTTATGACGTGACTCTTCTCTAGAAGAACAAATGGGACGATGTCTGCATATTTCCAGAGAGGGTGGGCATCAATCAGTACAGGCTGGATGATGCTCAGCAGTTCTTCAGCTCCCCTTTGCTGTTGCAGAAGCTCAGCAGATGCATTTTGGATAACAAACTTTGTTATTTCACCACCTCCTATGTTGCTTATTAAAATGTAGATGGCATTGAGGAACTCATTGGTTTGATTGGGTTCAAAGAATCGGCTGAGAGTATCCAGCAGGACTGGAGACATGAGTTCAACCTCATCCAGAATAAACAAGGGTATCTTCTCTTCCATTTCAGCTCTTGTAACCATGTCAGAAATCTTCTTAGACAAATCTGTTTCACAAGTAAGAGGAGCCACCCCGTTAGGGCAGTGATGCATAACAAAGTACTGAAGCACAAAGTCATTGTCCATGACAGAAAGAAAATGTTTGGCCAGCAGCCAGCCAACATGACTCTTCCCAACTCCTGTTGGGCCATTTAAAGAGATTACTAGAGGCTTGTTGTGTATATGGGTAGCCAGATAGTCTTTCAGTAATTCCATAATACTTTCCACAGCAAGCTTCTGGCCAAATACTTCCCGGTGCATTGTTTTCTCCAAACCATCTAGGTCATATTTTTGGAGGTTATCATCCAGGTTCTCTATTGCATTGAGAATCTGGAAGAAGATAATGACAATGAGCAAGAGAAGGCAGCGTTTTGCCTTGCTCTTCTCCTCTGTTGGAAGGTATCTTTTTGTTTTATCTGGATACAGGACTATCCTAGATTTCCTTCGATTCTTTTTCCGCCTGCATTTTTTCATAGCATACTGCTCCACAGATGTATCAAAGGTGAAGTACTGGGAAGTTTCAAAGCTGGTCTGATTAAAGAAAGACATAGAGGGGCCATACAGGCTAGCGCGGTTCAGTGAAAGCTGCCTCTGAAGCACCCTCGCATGCACAAGCTCTGAAGACTTTTCTCGAGGGAGCTCAAAATGCAGACGACTTTTCTTTTGCACCCGGTATTGTCGTCTCAGGCGGATGATTGCCCGCAAGGAAGAAGAAATAGAAGATATTTTCTTTGAAGCAGCAGGGATTTCAGTATCCGGTAATTCTTCCCCGTCACTCTCATAGCAAGATGCCTCTCCTTTTGCATCACTCTTGGCACCGGGCATTTCCCCTTCCTCATCACTGTCAGTGCCACGCAGCTCTCCTTCTACACTGTTCTCAACACATGGTGCCTCTTCTTCTGCGTTGGTCTCAGCACAGGCCATCCCTCCTTCTGCATCACTCTCAGCACTGGACACGTCTCCTTCCGTATCACTCTCCACACAGGGCATCTGTCCTCCCAGATCCTCCATGGCAGAGGACACTTCTCCATCCACCTCAGAACAGGGCAGATCTCCATCCATCTCATCCGGTTCTTACAGCCCATTCACATAATCTTCATTCTGAAAAGAAAAAAAAAAGTATAATTAATCTTTGTAAGATCAGTGACCAACCACACTGAAGTTAGGCAGGTATCCCACTGTCTAACTGGCAGAACGATTACCTGTAGCAATCAGCAATTGATTGCTGAGGTGGCAGAGAGAGACTTTCAGACCTAAGCTAACTTTCTGGAAGATGCTCTAGACATGCAAAACTACAGATGAAATTCAGTGTAAATAAACGCTAATCCATGCATATCAAAAACCAACCCTGCCTTCACATACACAAGGAAAGTTTGGAGCTGGCTGGAGCCAAAGCTGGGGGCTCTGCTACGTGTTGCCGTGAGCGCGAGGCAGGACACCGAGCCACGCTCGGAACCAGAGCTGCCCAGTCCTGTTTCCTTACATCTGCTAAATTAAAGCAAGACACCTCTGCGCCAGCATACACACACACACACACACACACACACACACACATACACGTCCACACCCCCTACAGGAAACAGTCACTCGTACACCCACAGAGACCTTTCAGGGTGTGGGAGTGTGCGGGAGTAACTCCCTGTGGGAACGCTCTCGCCACGCAAGTTGTGGTGGCATGGCATCATCTCCTGGGGTGAACTTCTCCTGGCTGTGCCGACGAGCATGCCAGGCAGCGCCAGGCACTGCAGGCAGGGAGAGGTGAGGGCAGCGTCCAGCCAGTGCCCAGCCTTCAGCCCGCGGCTCCTCGGGCTGCACTCGGACGAGTTGCAGAGAACCAACGTGGTTGTGGCTAAGCCTGCCAGCAGCACATGGCTGTGGAGAGAGGAGGGGGCTACCCCGCAGCACCCTGACCCTCCTAACCCTTCCCTGCCCCCTGTGCCCACACACTCGCACCCCTGGACATGGGGTGTCCTTCCCAGACAAGACCCTGGAGCCATGCAGGAGAGCGCAGGACATGAGCACCCCTAGGAATAACCATCTGCACAGAAAATGCGTGGACAAACCTTAGTCAGCAAACAAGGAGGAAGAGGAGAGGCTGTGCTCTGGCAGCAGGACGTGATGACAAGAGGCACGGACCTGGCCTGGAAGCAGCCACGTGGCGCAGGACCCCGCACACAACCACCCCCACGTGCTGCAGTGCCAGGGATGGCTCCGTCCCTGCCCGGCACCAAGCTGGTGGTGGCTGGAGCTGTGTCACGGTGGGAGGGCATTTCCCCAACGCCTCCAAACCACAGCGGCACTGACGCAAGGGGCAGTTCTGCTCTGACACTGCCAACCCCGAGAGCAAGAAGCCGGCACGGGCAGGGCAAGGAAAAGCCGCTTTCGTCAGCCGCCCAGAAAAATCAACCCTAGGTCTTGCCAAAAGCACCACATCTCTGGGGAGGAGGAGGAGGTCCCCAAAGGGTTTGTTATTAACTCGCTTCAGCTCAGCAGGAAGTTACCAACCTGCAAAATGTCATGGTCCGGCGAAGGTTTTACTTCCCCCACCATGAGGCTGACGCAAGCAGCTGCCCGCCAGCACGTAGCGAGTGAAAGGGCGGCCCGGGAAGCTGCGTGGGGAGTGACAGGCACTGGGAAACGCTCCAGGCCACCTCTTCACTTCACCCCGCTCCTTTCCCAGTTCCTCTGAAATGCGGGGACACGCCAAGCAAAGCCTTTGCCTCCGCCCCGGCGACAAGGTGATTTCTGGCCCATGTGCTGGCAGCCGGCGCACTGTGGGAATTGAGCCGGGGCGAGCGGCTCCCCCAGTGCTAATCGTTGAGGAGCTGTTGCTGTGCTGCAATTAGCCTCGAGTGCTAATTGCAGACCATGTGCAGGATTTGGCCGTGCCCAGAGCAAAACCAGACAGACAAGATTCCTGCAAGCAGGCACAGAGGTGTCACGGGGCAGGAGGGCTGGGGGCCACCACCACCCAGGATGCCACCAGTACAGATGCCACCTGGAACCCTGGGCTATCCCCACACCACTCTGGGGTCACACCCTCGCTTCTCCCCATCTTGCACCCTGCCTTGATCACACAGTGCCCAAAGGTTCCCAAAGGCTGTCCCCAGACCAGCACCAGCCATGGTCCCCAGGGAGCAGGGCTTGGGGACAGGACAACCCTCTGGGCCATCCACACAAACACACAAGGGAGCTTTCTCAGCCCCAGGGGGATCTGTGGGAGTTTGCAGGAAAGGGTTTAGGGAGCAGAAGGATGTTGGCAGGGAAGGATGAGCCATCCCCAACACTGCCCCACAGATGCTGCTGGCAGGCAGTCGGGGTGCTGCCCCCCACCCTGCCTGCAGCCCCAGCTGAGGCACGAAGCAGTTTGGCTCCTCGCAGCTCAGAGCTGACTCTCCTACCACCACTGTATCTGTGCAGGGAGCCCAAGGGCCCTGCAAGGCCTGTGGAAAACAGTGAGGACCAAGCACTCATTAGCCAGGAGATGCTCAAGACCCTCTTTCCCAAAAGCCAAGAGCCCAAACAGCACATCATCCCACAGCATGGGGTGCCCAACCCTCCAGATGAGCCGAGCAAGGCAGGGTGGAGGGACCAAATCCCATTCTCAGCAAGACATCTGTCCAGTCACACATATATATAACAATCCTATTAATACCACGACTCAGTTCCTAATACCTGCTGCTATTTACATAGGACTCAGATTTTGTCAAGAGCAGCCCCCACTTGCTCAGCATCAGATAAAGGCCGGGTCAGGCATCTGTGCCAACCTGGTGGCGCTGCCAGCCTGCAGAGACGCCCTTTTGGCAGCTTAATTAGATATTTGGTGAAAACAACAGGGAAAAGAACCCAGCAATTAGGTCTGCAGCATCACAAGTGCTGGTGTAAACACCGTTAGCCGCTGCTCTGCTCCAAGTCCAGCCACACCGCAGGAAGACTTGCACTCAGCTCTTGGAAACACTCCTGAAAAACCTCCAGTTTTCTTCCTTTAGCTCTTCCCTTAACATTTGCATTCGTGTGTCACCCTGCTCCTACCAAAACAAGGTTTCCGCAACAGACGAGCTTGCATGAGCAGAGGGAGGCAGCCGGGCCGGGAGGGGAGCGGGCCGGGGCAGACAGTGTTCAGACACAGAAAGTGCCCGGTTTGCAAGAGATGTCAGCCCCACAGCAGCTGGAGAAATATATCCCCGGTTGAAGTGCCAGCTGCTGAATCCCGGGGAGAGCCTTAGAGAGGAGGGAACTGCACCCCAAACTCTGGCTCTCTGGGGTTAGCAAAGCTGCTGGGAAAAGGGACTGGCTGGAAAATCTCAAAGGCTGATCCCCTCCCCAGCTGGAAGCCAACCCCCTCCATCCAAACCTGAGCGTTTCCACGGGGAAAGCAGAGGAAAATAGCTCCCTGTAATGGGGACCATGGATCGAGGGGGGTCAGTGGCTGGGAGCAGAAACCCTGGATGCTGGCAGAGGCACCCCAAGTCGCAGCTCCCCGGGAGCACCGCTTGGAAACAGCCTGAGAAACATGGTTTGCTTCACAGCTCAAGCTCAGGGTGTGCTGACGTTCACTCTCCCCCCAAAAAATAGCACAAGGGTGACAGCCAGGGCAATGCAAAACCACCCCCCACCACCCCAAAAGCCTGCTTGCCACCCACCAGCCCCGCTCCCAGCCCAAAGTGTCTGCCAGGCCCCAAAGACCGAGACCGATGGGAAGGGCAATGAAAAGAGGGGAAGAGCCCAGAGCATCCAAAATTGGTGGGAACAGGAGGGTCCCCACAAAACTGGGGCAGTTTTTGGTGGAAAGGGGCCATCGGGGACAAGCAGGAGGCAGTGGCGGGGATAGAGCTCAAAGTGGCCGAGGCCAAGGGGTGCCCCAGTGACGCCCTGTGGGGTGGGGAGCGGGACAGGGGAGCGGAACCAAGCACAGTTACCCGCAACGTCTCCCTCAGGGCCAGCTGCTGGTGCTCCCCTTCAGCCGCCGAGCCCAGCCTCGGACGGGCCAGCTGCTCCTCTGCCCTCTCCTCTCTCATCCGTATAAAAACTCGACTGCGGAGAGGAAATGGCGAGGAGGAGTGGCCCACAGCAGCACTTCCTTCTCCCTGTGCTGCAGGACAGCCGCCGCTGGCTGGTTTTCTCTCCCCCTCTTGCTCAAAGCCCTCCTTGGCAGCTGCCGTCACGGCGGCATCGTGCGAAGAAACACGAATCCTGGGCAGCTGCAGCAGGACAGAGACAGGGCAGAGGGATGAGATCATCACCCACGCAGCCTCGAAAGCCCTAAGTCTGGGTAAAACATCCCCACCCTCTGGGGTGTAATTAGCCCAGAGACTGTGACCGGTAAAGGTCAAAGTGGTGATGCTGTGAAGAGGTTACATGGGCTGACCCTGTGCTGGTGCAGCTCAGGGACAAGGTTCCTGGCCAGCAGGAAAAACAGGGAGAGTAGAAAATAGAGCAAATCTAGGAAAAAAATAGCGAATCCATAAAAAAAAAAAATAGCCTTGAAAAAAATAGCGAGTCCAGAACAGTTGATTTGCCTGTCCCTGCTCCTGCTGTCCCTGGCCGCTCCAGCCCCACTGAGGTTTTTGGCCCCTTGGCAGCCCCCAGCCCCGCGGCAGAGGGAGGGGGGGATGGCTGGGCCAGGCTGCACGGCTGCTGTGGGACCGACCTCTGGAAGAGGTGGTGTGGGCACCCCGAGCCCTTGCTGCACAAAAACTCCCTGGGGAAAAACCACTTCTTCCATCAGCTGTGCTAACAGAGGGAAGAAGGAAGCAGCAGGGTTCTTCTGGACCCAGCAGTGCCAAGTCTCATCATGGTGGCTCCTTCTCACATCCATCTGCAGCTCAACTTTCCTTTAGCCCTAACAAACCCACCTCGACCCCCCTTCAACCTCTCACCTGTGCTTTCACAACCCAGGCAAGGCTTTTCCCTGAAAAACAAGCCTATTTGGTAAAGCCAGAGCAGCCCCAAAGCAACCTCTTACTGGTCTTTCCAGCTCCTAGTTTTGGATAAACCCCCAGCTGGAACCACTCCCCACAAAAGCAGCTGCCCCAAAAAACGGGGAAAAAACCCCAACTTGGGGTGTTTTGGAGCATCACAGCACAGATCCCACCCTGGCT